CATTTCCTTAAGTGCAAGACGGGGAAATAACAATATAAAAGTGTCAGAGTTGGGATGAGTATACAAACTAATATGCAAAAGGCAATAAAGGGCAGGAAAGAGCATGGACTCTGGGTCAGACTTTATGGTTTGAAATCCTGGCTTCACCTCTTACTAGCCAGGTAATCTAGGGTAAGTGTGTTAACCTCTCTGGGTTTCAGTTTCCTAGTTTGTAAATGGGGTGACAATGAAAATACCTACCTGATAGAGTTGTTGTAAGGATTAAAGAAGCTAAAATGTGTGAACCTCAGTGACTGGTGAACATGTGACAGTGCTGGCTGTGTCGTCAATTGGATGACCCATAGAAAGGACTTAGCCACATAACTCATGGGAATGTGTGCCCATCCTGAGGGCTGTGAGGTGCAGGGCTGATTCTTGATTAATGACTCTTCTGGGGTGGAAGATTTTCTATAATGAAATCAGCCACATGTGGCTGGTGTTGGGAAGAAACTCATAAATCACACGAAGCAAGGTTGGCATGTGGCATCCGGCTCAGCAGTGAACCTTGGCCCAGCCTCATGCCTACTGTCCTCCACCCCGGAGGGACCCAGCCCAGCCCAGAGTGAGGAGTCAGCCTGCTTAGCAGAGACATGGCCTGCAACACACAGCATCTGCTGAGCCTTCTGTGCCAGGGGTGACCCATGCCCTGCAGTCAGGGAACCAGGCAGGGCCCACCTCAGTCACCAAAGCAGTGGCTCTCAAACTTGAGTGTATATCAGAATCTCTCCCCAACCCCAGGCTTTTTAAACTCAGATGGCTGAGCCCCACCCCCAGAGTTTCTGATTCAATTGGTCTGGGTGGGGCCCAAGAGTTTGCATTTCTACTAAGTTCCCAGGTGATCCTGATGCTGCTGGTCTGTGGGACCTCAATTTGAGAACCACTGACCTACACTTCTGGGGGAGTGAGCATAAACCTTGCTATTTGTCCTTGGGCAAGTTTCTTCTCTCCGCTCTTTCCAAAAAGGGGGCATACCAGAACCTACCTCAGGGGAGGTGCTGGAGACGGAATGAGAGAATTGCACGTGGTATAAGTTCTGCGTACCCAGGAAATGCTCCATCCATGTCGGTCCTTAGCAGCACCAATGCATGGTTGTTGAGGGCTTAGAGACAACAAATAAGTAGGAAGGGTGGAGTTGTGAAGATCCCAAGCTTTTAAGAAGTGAAGGGAAAATGAACAAATATAAATTGAGTGCTTTTTGAATGCAATGCCCTAATTACTAAATGCTTTATCACACACACACAAAATCCCAGCTAGAATCTTTTATTAATTAAAAAAAAAAAAATTATTGGTTTTTAGAGAGGGAAGGAGAGAGACGGAGGGAGAGAAACATCGATTTGTTGTTTCTCTTATTTATGCATTCATTGTTTGATTCTCATATGTGCCCTAACCAGGGATGGAACCCACAACCTCGGCGTATCAGGAGAACGCTCTAACCCACTGAGCTACCCAGTCAGGGCCTAGAATCTTTTATTTCATTCACTCGGCAGGCCAACAATTACTGAAAGTCTGGAGAACCAGGTTCTGTGCTGTAGCTGTGGGAAGTTTAAAGGTGGAGCAAACATAGATTGTGTTATCGAGGGGCCACAGAAAACAAGGGAGGAAAAATAAAGACTAGAGAAGATAAGTCCACATCACTGCATAAGGAGGAAGGTGCTCACTGGAGCTGGAGAGGAACATTAGTGACGTTGCAGAAATAACCTGGACGGGTGCTTTCGAACAGGTGGGGAATCAGGGTAGATTCCCTTATCTGAAAAAATGGGTAGCATTTGACCCATAGAGATGAGAAGGTAGCGGGCAGAAGGAACAGCAAAGCACAAACGAGAAGGCAGAAAGCTTCCAGAAACAGGATGCAGGGCAGTTTGGTGGACTGCAGCCCTGGTTTCCTGTCCAACTAGGGAACTGTCCCCTCGCTGGGAAACTTCTCCATCAGTGCTCCCCTCGGGTACTGGTTCTGACTCAGACCTCTGGCTCCTCGATACGGTCCCCACATTCATCTGGTTCCCAGGGGGAGTGTAACGGGGAGCGCAGGGGCCGCCATCCTTGCCCTTGGCTTCCCCTCGCCGTGAGGTCGAGCGCCCTTGTACTCGGTCCAGAGCCTAGGCCCGTCCTGACTGTCCCCTGCGTGGCTCCTCTCCCTCCTGTTTCAGAGGGAGGCAGGCTCAATGTACACCAGACTCACCCAGGCCACTCATCACACATGGAAATTCGGAGTTAGCAGGTCTGGGTCCGAGCCCAGGAATAGACGTGCTTACAACACCTCAAGCGATCCCAGCAGGTTATCTGAACACACCCTGAGAGACACTTATTTTGAAAGACAAATTGTTGAAAGACAAGCCTAGTTTTCAAATAATTTGAGGGGGTCCGATATAACTTGAGCCAGGGAGGAAGGAGAAAACAAGCCTTCTGGAACACCTCCCGGTCGTTTGCATTCATGCTCTCTAGATCTGCATCACTGAGTTCTCCAGGCCATCTAGCCCCACCCTTTCTTTCATCGTCCCAAACAAAGAAAACTGGGCTCTGGAGGACAGGCCACTGGCTCAAGAAGCAGAAGTCACATCTGTTTGGGTTTAAGTGGCTCGCATAGCTTACTTCTAGAATTCTTCTATGATTACAGACTGCTCTACATCACCACAGCGCTGTGGGCACTGGGGTATAAAGGCCGGGTTGCTCAGCACTGGCCCACTGAGCTGCCAGCTGGGCTAGAATGGCCAACTGACCACACCGGTCCGCACCCAGCCCACCCTTCACCAGGAGAGGCCCACCCAGCTGCTCCCATAGCTCTTGCCTTCCTGTAGCCTCTATCACGTGGTATGATGGTTGCCTGCTCATTTGTGCATCTCCTCTGAGGAGACAATTTCTTAAGGCACGGACGATTTCTGTCTTGTTTACACTTGTGTTATCGCCCCTAGCAAAGTGCCTTGTTACTCGACAGGCACTCAAAAACCGTTTATTCACAATAGCAGTGACACTTGTTTACTAAACACTGAGAAGGGGACTAATAAATCAGTCCTCACAAAAACCCTTCTAAGGCTCTGAGTACACCCACTTTACAGGTGAGAAAACTGAGGCTGAGAGAGGAAATAACTTATTCGACACCACACAGCTAGTAAGTGGCAGAGTGGGATGGGTCCATCCCGCTGATCAGGTCTCTGGAGTCCATACTCCTCAGACTGACCCTCTTCCACACTCCATGGGGCTGAATTCTACAGCAGAGAGTTGTCCTCAGGGGCTCTGGGGCCTCAGTTCCCCTGGGTTTCCCAGGGAGGGGCCCTCTCACCTGGCCTGGGAGGGGAGAGGGCCCCACCCTGTTCCGCCTCGAGGTCTTTGCTAAGTGCCCGGCAGTGAAGACCTCTTAATTAAGACTAGAGAAGCTGCCTGGGTCACCTCCTTTCTGGAGGAAACTGACTCAGAGCATCACAGGGGACACACAGAAATACCAGACATTGAGAACAGTGTCGGGAATGAAGCTGTGGACATTATGAAGTCCAGCTTTTCCCTTCCAGGTTTCCTGTCCTGTTTGTGGGAGAGGACCACACCCCGTTCAGTGCTGGAAGACACTCCGCAGGCCTGGGAGTGCCAGACCCCTCAGAGGACAATCCTGTTGCTAGGTATTTCTCCAACTGCAAATGGGGAGGCTGAGGGGCCCGGGAAGAACCTTTGTGAAAATCAAAACCAAGTCACAGAGGCCCAGGCATGGAGGAAGCCCTCCCTGCTGGAGATTGGCTCCATACAGTCTCCCTCCCGCCCTTCCCACCCCAGGGTGCTCTGGGAGGCTCACTCTTCTGCTGGGTTATGCAAGACCTGTTGTTACTGGCCAGCCCGAGGGCGTTTGCTTATTCCTCCAGGAGCTGGCTAAAGGCTAATAAGCCTCCATTTCCAGGGGAAAAATAGGGGTGGGGGGGGATGGTTAGGTGGGAGGGAGAATGGGCCTTGGAAAGGTAGGATTGGAGGAGGGCAAGAGCGTGCCTCAGGGGAAGCAGCACCAGGGCTCTGCAAGGTGGGAGTGAGAATGGACAAAAAGTGGAAAGCGGACCCAGCCTGGCCAGGAGGGAGGCCCAAGAAGGCAGTGGGCAGTGGGCCGTGCTCCTCCAGAGGACGGATGGATGGACAGACTGCGGCTAGAGTCTTACAGTAAATTGCCACCTTGCCCAGCTTTGCCCAAGCTGGCTCTGCAGCCATGCTGTGTGCTTGGAACAGTCACCAGCCAGCACTCTGCTCCAGGCCCCTCAGGCCTGGTGATCATAAGTTCTGGGGAATCCAGATGAGCAGCCCTGAGACAAGGTGGTGACAGGGACGAAAATGGCTGCATTCAGGAGAGGTTTAGTCTCACACTGGCCTGCCCCCTACAGTTCATATGTGCACTGAAGTGTTTATTTCTACCTGGGTAGGTTTGGTTTCTAATCATACAAATGGCAAGGACTTCCCATTGGTTTCCATCGAAACATTCGGCAGAGCATCCACTACCCAATCCAACAAAGCTAGGCTGGTAGGACTCTGTCTGGAATTATTTCACTGTTTCTACCCAGGAAGAGGGCCCCAGCTGCGTTTTATCACAGCCTTCTTGTGGGGTGGAGGCGAAGGGCAGTTCAGAGGGGCCGGGGCTGGCGCTCAGGGAAGAGAGTGCTGGCAAAAGGCAAGCATTTGGAGAAGCCCCTTGGTTTCCATTTCGAAGTCCCAAGTAGTGTCTGTCACTGGAGCCTGGGCCCTGTTCCCAGCCTGCCCCAGCAGCAGGGCCACCTGCAGGCTGCCCCCAAAACAGCCAGCCTGTTGTACAGGAGTCCCTGGGGTACTATGGGGCACGCAGGCTGAGGAGCGAGCTCTCAGGGGCAGGAGGGGGTTAGACTTGAGAGTGTTCAGTTTCACTTTTACAGAATAGAGGCCCCAACTCCTCTCGGAGGCACAGGAGGGTGGCGCTGAAGGGCTGGACTCTGGAGTCAGAAAGGAAGGCGTTGGTGCACGTGTATGTGTGAGAAGTGGTTTTATTCCAGGTGTGTGTTTCATAAAGACAAGGTCCTCAAGGACAGCTAGTGGCACATGCTTTGGTCAAGAAGAGGAAAAGCAAAAACAGAAATAGGGCTGAATCCCACAAATGGTGGCTGACAAGTGCCTAGCCCAGTCTGACCACAGGGAAGGAGGGGCCTCTCTATGGCTCTCTGAGCAGCAGTCCCTTTACATTCAAGAGAAGCCCTCACTCCCCTAAAGGTCCACGCTGCCCGCCAGGGTGGACACGCACCATAGAGATGGCAGTGGATGATCACAACAGGGGACCGGAGAAGTGTGGCCCCCAAGCTGGTGAACGCACAGGGTGCACGCTGGGGCACAGAAGCACTGCCCAGAGGATGCCGGTGAGAGCCAGGAGGTGAGAGGAAACCACTAAGAACCCTCCAGGGTGGGTGCCGTGGACCAGGGACGCTTGGCTCCTGGCCCCAAGGGCTGCATGGAAGGAGCAGGCGACAGTAGTTTAGGCACACCAGGGAGAGAGATGGGGCGTGGCAGCTCAGGTGAATGGGAGCTCCGATCCAGAGCAGAGGTTCAGACCCTCTGGAGATCAAGGGCCTCTGTAAGAAGCTGGGGGAGTCCATGGACCCTCTCCCCAGGAAAATGCATATATGCACACACATGCACTATTGGGGGGACAATTTCAGGAGATTCCTAGGCCCCCTGGAATCCATGAACTCCTAAGGGATCTCAGGTTTGCTTTGGGAAGGGTACCCCTAGGGAACCTGGTACCACCAGTCTTTTGCCCAAGATCACACTGCCTGAGCCAGTGGGGTGGGAGAAGAGGAGCACGGGGAATAACAGAAGTGGTTCCAAGACCAGGCCATGGGGCAGGGGAAGGGCCCAGTGGTTGTGAGAAGAAACAGGGACCTCTCAACACAATCAGGAGCCACCAGCCAGCCTCCTGCCCACTGCAGTGACTGACCCTCAGGGCCTCCCTCCTGTAGTGGGGAGGGGTGAGCATGAGGCTTAGCCTGGGTGACTTACTCCCTAATGACTCAGGGAATGTCGATGCTCTAGAAAGGAGGTCCTGTTCTTATGGACTGCCCCGATTGCATAATGCTGTAACAGAGGCAAAGGCTTCTGAGAAGGCGGGGGTCAAAAAATGCGAATGAGGATGGGGCAGCTCAGTGGTGGGTGGTGGCTGCCTGTCCTTATGGGGTCCTCACAGTGGGCCCAGGCAGGGGGCATAGGGCACCAGCAGGTCAGTAAGGCCTGAGGGACAGGTCTCATCCTGACACATGGCCAAACAGAAGTGGGGTCTGTTTAATAAACTGTGTTCCAAGGATGCCCCTGAAGATGGCGCTGCAGCCTCTTGCTAAGAATGTGGGGACCAGAGCACAGGGCTGGAGGCACAGTGCCCTGGGGCTGGTGCAGCATGGAGGATGGGGTCCCTGGAAGAGACCCACTCTTTGGGTGCGGTGCTGCTTTTCCGTCCATATCCTTCTGCACATTACGCATCCTTTGCCCCCAATCCCATCCCTCCCACACCCAACCCAGCACCTGCCTGGGACAGGCCACTGAGCTTCTAACCTCCTCCTGGTTCTCCACCCACCTCACAGGCTCCCCCCTCCTCCTGGCCTCAGTCTCCCCAACCACGCTGCCTACATTCTCTTCTCATGTTCAATCCCATAAGCAGGCCCTGTGACACAGTGGGGACCCTATGTGAGCTTCTGTCCTTGCTCACCCCAGACAACAAGGGGAGGGTACCCAAGCCACTGTCTGGGCTCCCAGGAAGGAGAGGGGAGGGGACAAAGGGTGAGGGCACCTGCCCAGTCTCTGCCCAGCAGCGGTCCAGCATCCTGACTTTCTCTCCTGGGGCGAGGGCGGCGCGGGGCGGCAGCCTGGGCATCGGGCATGGCCCCCGCGCCCTCCCTGTGCAAGCTTTGGAGAATGGTCTCGTGGCAGGGGTGTTTGCTGATGGTTCCGGCAGAATGTGAGGGGATGGAAACGGCCCGCTTTACACTCCCCCACCCTAACCCCCTTCCAGTCCCAAAGTCTCATGCAAAAGGTACAGGAGGCCCCGGGGCTGCCATCATGAGTGCGGCAACAGCTGCCACTGCTGGGCCGGGGCGTCAGCCTGGCACTTGCTGGTCACCAGCCGGGCGGGCTGGGCCTCCAGGCAGAGGCCGCTGACCGAATGCTGGATGAAAGAGGCTTTTCTCCTCCATCTCTGGGGGAGAAGCAGGGAAGGAGAGGAGGGAAAAAAACAGTGATTAAAAATAAGAATAATGCTCACACCACCTTCATTACACTTGTATATACATGGCCCTGCATATAGCTGGGACCCCCACCCCCATTTAAACTGTGTGTCCCCTACCCCCCTACATAGGGGCCCCCACCGCACACAAGCTTTAGCCCCTCCGGGTGCACGCCTGCTCTGTAGTTTGGCACGAAGTTACTGTGGAGATCAGAGGCGCACGGGCTGAATCTATCCCAGAAATGTGTTTTGTTTGGCCTGCTCAGTATTAATTTAAAATTTGGCTTAGTCGCCACATAAAATCTGCGTTTCCAGCTTCCCTTCAGACATGGTTCAGTTTCTCTTGTTGCATCAGCTGGTTGGGGCTGAGGAGCTGCTGTAAACGACCCGAGTCCGCCTGGGCTCCCCCACCCACTCCCCCTGGGCACTTGGGTTTGAGTTCCTGGACCAGGTGAGCCTCTGACTCCTTCAGACAAGATTTCTTCTTGCTTCTGCTCCATGCTCCCGCCCCGGCCTGTAACTGGCAGCTGGCACCTGCTCCCTTTAGTGGGAGCTGGCCGCCATCTCCGCAGAGAGAGAGGCCAGCAGGATGGTGGGGGCACTCGAGGCTCCCAGGTCAGTGCCTTCACCTCCTGGTGCCTCCCCTTGCCCAGGCTCGACAAGGGGAAGGAGAGTTGTTTCTGAGAACATTTTGGAGGTGCCCGGATGGAGGATGAGGTGTAGTTTGGATGCTCGGTTTCTTTCCTCTTTCCCTCCCATGCATTCCTCTCCCCTCTTCCTATATCCACCTTGTCCTAAGAAGTGGGGAGTGCTCGTGACCAGGTGGTGGGGCCCAGCAGGCTCTGAGGGGGAGGGGCCAGGTTCTTTCCAGAGCAGCTAGGAGAAGGCAAGTGAGCTGTACACAGCTTCGGGCCCAGGGCTGCAGGGGGGCACGGGGTGGGCAGAGAAGGGAACCAACTTGGGATGTGCACACGGGGTAGAAGGTGGGGGCTTCAGAGCCTGGATTCCCCTTAGGAATGCAGGACTATGAGGCTTAGGGCTGAGAACTAGCCTTTCTGGCCCATGTGGCCCCAGCAAAGAGGGGTCCCTGGCCTAAGGGTCAGGGGTAGTGGGTGGGACAGCATCCTGTTGCCTGGGTTCTTCTAGTGTTTAATCTCCTGGAAAGGGGTGGCCACACTCTCCCCAGCTGGGTGTTGCTGGACCATGTCCCTCTTTCATCTCTGCGGCCAATATGATCAGCACATTTCCTGGCACGAGCAGGCACCCAGTGCAGTTTTGTTTTATGAAGAAAGAATGCATGGATAAATGAACGAATGACCCAATCATTAGGAGGCGCTCCCCAAATCATAGGAGTCTCATTTCCTACCAGTGCCATGAGGCATAGTCTCGGGGCCTCCCTGACTCCCCTTGGCCACTTAGTTCTGGGCCTGACCAGAGAAACAGAGTCCCCTCACAGTACTCCCCCATCTCCACAGTGTCAGTTCTTGCAAGGCAGGCAGGGGAGGGAGCCCCTTATTTTATAGTGAGATACTGTGGCGGTTGTCAGAGGCTAGGGACAGTGTTGACAAGACAAGGAGTGCCTGCCCTCATTCAGCTCACTGGCTGGCAGGACATACATTTAACACATATTTACTCATGAAGAACTTCCTCATGAGTAAAATCATAGACTTGACCTAGATAATGCCTTAGGCCTGCACGGGTCCTCATTCTGGAGGGTTTATTTGAGTCTATATGTCTCAGCCTGGGGCTCTACTGCCACCCCCACGGTGTGTCCCTCTGGAGATGCTGGCCATCCTGAGCCCAGAGGCAAGGAGGCTTACCTGTCTGCCTTCTCTGGGGTTGCACGCCTGTAGTACGACCGGGGACCCAGGGGAGGTGGAGGTGGAGGTGGAGGTGGAGGTGGCGGTCAGGCACTTCCCCTGCTGCTGGATGAGATGGTCACTGAACAGCCACGCCTGCAAGACAGGGCCAGGAAGGCTGAGTCCAAAAGTACAGCGATGAATGGACAGATGGGAAGTGAGGTGATACAACAAATATACTGTTTTGGTAGAATTTTCTACTAATAGGGGTGAATATGCAGGTATTCACTGTAAAGTTCTTTCAACTTTTCTATATGTTTGAAATTTTTCATAATAAAATATTGGGGGAGCTTGGCTGGAGCAATGGAGAAAGCCAAGGGATGCTGGGGATGGGGGAGAAGGACAGGGCATGGGACCAGGGCAGCCAGGAAGCTTGTCCATGACAGGGGTTCCATGACCTGCTCTGATTTTGACGTGGGTGCACTGACACTCATATTTTGCACACATATATGGGACACACATACAGGGATCCTAGATGCCCTGCTGCCCGTCATATAAGCTGACCACAGTTGCATCCCAGGAGGGAACTGGGCCCTGTTTGGGCAGCATTTCTCCTTCTGTAAGGGTAGAGTGGATGGTGCATAGAAGGCAATGGTGTCACAGGCTGGAAAGGAGATGGGAATGTGGCAGGAGCAGACCCAAGGAGCAGAGTGGGAGGGGACAGCTGGCAGGGTCCCTGGGAAAGTGGGTCTGTGGAGGGTGCAGACAGAGAGAGGGTGAGATTGAGCAGAGGAGCGCCCTTCACCCCACTTGGTCCTAAGCAGCTTACCTGTGGTGCTGGGGGGTTCTTGGCAGAGCCTCTGCAGATCCCCACTCCCAGCAGGAAGTTACCAGCAGTGTCCTGGCCCTGGGATTCTAAGCAGTTAACCCCCTGCTTAATGATGCCAGGGAGCGCTTCCTTCACTGGGACCCTGGGAGAAAAGGCAGGGGTCAGGCTTGTATTTTGCCCTCCTCCAGTTTACCCACACTTACCCAGTGGGCAGCCCCAGTCAGCTCCTGGCGCACCACAGTCCCAGGGGGAAGGACACTAGGGGACAGACCTAACTAGCAAGGAGGGAAGAAGGCGGAAAAGGGAGCAGGGGTTCCTCGGGGAAGACAGGCCTGGGCCCCACTAGGTTCTGAGCAGCTAGGAGCCCCAGGGACTGCCCTGGAGGCTCGGTCTGAGAGGATCCTGGGGGCATCGAGCTGAGGCCAGAAACCTAGGATTTCCTAGTCCAGGAAGAGGAAAGCCTGGGGAAAGGCTGGGGCCTGAATATGGGCTCGATAAGCAACTTCAAAACGACAGGGAAGGGCTCACTTTAAAGAGGCAAATTTAAGATACACAAATATGAAAATGTGTTCAATCTCACTAACGATGAAAGAAATACATATTAGAGTTAGCGCAGTTTGTTTACCGTATACAGTATGTATATATTTTGTATATATTTATTTACATATAAAATATATATTATATATAATAATATGTATTTACATGGATACATGGGTATATTGATATACCCAGTGTTGACACTAGCTGTGGGATTGGATCTTCTTATACCCTACTGGAGAAAGCATAAATTAGCTTAACTTTTCTGGAAGGCAATGTGACACTATTATTATGTGCCAAAGGCCTTAAAAATGTGCAAACCTTTGACCTCACCATCCCACTTCAGGGAACTTAATATCCTACAGCAATAATCATAGATATGTGCAAAGATTTAGTTTAAAAGATATTCATCTCAGAGTGGTTAATTATACAAAAACATTGGAAACCCCTAGATATCCAACAATAAGGGTCAAAGTAAACTGTGAATCATCTGCAAGATGGAAAATCCTTTAGCCACTAAAAATGACTGTGAAAGAATATCTGGTAACATGGGAAAGTGTTTAGAACATATTGCTAAGTAAAACTGGCATTTCAAAATACCACGTTATTAAAACATTTTATATGAACAGTAAAAAATATGAGTACACACACACACACACATACACACTGATATAAGACACAGTATCTTACCCTGTGGGCAATAAACCTAAGAAGGCTGCCAGCCCCAGGAGATGCAGGACTGTATACTTGGGTTTAGGAGGTTATACATGATCTTAGACTGTGGGCCCACTGGGGTGATGGGAAATCAGGAGGGCTGAGAGTCTGGCCATATGCTTAACCTTATTTGCTTCCTGTCACCTCTGTTAGGAAGAAAACTTGGGAGGGG